AAAACAATTAAATCGGTAGTAAGTAACATTTTATGTAATACCTATTTGAAAAAATATATAAAATATACTAATATAATAATATTAAATAATCCTACTAATATTATAAACGCGAAAGTTTGTTTCTTTGTTACTCGTTCGCGTAAAAACTACTGAATGGATTTTAATGAAATATAGTTACAATAATACATTAGTTATTTAATTCACCCCATTAAGCAGAGCTTGTGGCGAGGTAAATGAGTTGTTAGCTTACAAAGAAAAACTATAAAATACATTTAATTACAACATTTATATAACTTAATTCATAATAGCATACAAATAACAGTTAAAGATTCAGTAACAACCAGTTTATATAATAGTTTTTTTCTTAAATACATAATCATTTTTATATACATTATTTACAATATTCTTTGTGTAACTAACCTGCAGATCGTAAGCCCTGTGTTCCCTTTTATTGACTTTTTAGTAGTATTAATTTTACCTGCTTTAAATAAAATAGAAAATAACCTATATAAATAACTGACCGGTAGAACTTTAAATTCTTTATAGTTTACGGAAGTCGAGCCATACAGCTCCTTTTCCTTAAACATAAATCTTACTGCATGATTCTGTTGAATCACAAGAGAAATGTTACAAAAATATAGTTCATACATCAGAATAACACATAGGCTAAAAATCATCCATTTAGGTCCAACCAGGGGATGTGCTTAAACGGGGATGTAGATATTTACGGTGGAAATTTTTGTTCATAAATGGTTGCCGTGGGTTCAGGGGCCGATCCAGAGTTAGGAAACTGTGGGTCAGGAAATTTCAAGGGGCCACTTATTAAAACCAAATAAGAAATCTATACTTGTGTACTAGGTATATAAAACAAAAAAAAGGTGCTCCGCTGTACAGTAGGTTACAAGTGGGTCACTGTATAATGAATAGTATTAAATTTGAATTCAATTATATAATATCATTGTATAAGAAAAACGATTCTGAGCGGAGACGGTATGTCAGTCTAGGTATAAGGCATATTATTTTCTTATCTATCGTATTAAAAAAAATTTACCTATAATAAATTCCAAATTAATCATATCCCAATATCCATTAGGTACTTATAATGCGTTATACGTCAACAACAAACCCTGATGGCTGATACTATCATAGTCCATACTCCATAGGTATATAATAGTGTACTTTAGAAGTTTCAAGTACCCACGAATAATATTACACAATCACAAAAAAATAACTAAAATAGTTATTCTAGGTTTTTTTTATGTAATTTTATCCAAAGTTGAACTTAAAATGACTATAAAAATAAACTGTGCTTATGTATTTTTTAGATTTTTTGGTAATAGAATTAACTACAATGGTGAAATCATGTTTTAAATTTTCAATCCTTAGATATAAAAGTTGAACATTTTATACATTTTTAACTACAAAATAATTATTCAATTTTAGATTTGATACATTTTGTCAAAATTCGTTCTTTAAATGCTTATAAAAAAAATTGTGCAGCCTATGTATTTTTAATATTTTTCAACTGATATTGTAACAATATATCAGGAGCCTTATATTAAATTTTTACACTTTTTGGCATAACAGATAAAACTTTATTGATATTTATAGAAAAAAAAACTAAAAAAATTTAAAACTGAAAATGTCCGTAAACAGCTCAAAAAGAGTCAAAATATTTTTGCTGTATACCTAACCTGCTGTACATTAGGTTACAACTTACAAGTGGGGGTCGCTGTAATGGATGGTATTAAATTTATAATTATATATAATATCATTGTATAAGAAAAACAATTATTTTCAAAATTGTACATTGTATAGGAAATTCAAATATGAACATTCAGTGAAATTTTCATTTATCTACAGTTATTTGTTTTTGAATTACAACTATATAAGGAAATCGCTACATGAAAAATCGAGTGAATATCCAATGTTGTAAAAATTTGAATATCGTGTACACAGACACAAAAATAAATCAAAAAAATTTAAAAAAAAAACACACATTGTAAAATCAATACATTCATCGTTCCACTCAGAATCTAAAATTCATTTATACTATATGTGTGTTTATTTAAGTGTCCAACTACTCAAGATCTGAAAAGAGGCCAATTTGATCAGAAAATATTAACTGTGGGTCAGCTGACCTCCTGAACCCTCCCCTAGATCCGCCCCTAGATCCGCCCCTGTGTGGGTTTTTTAAAACTATTATAATAAATAATTATTGGTTGCCGTGAAATCAGTGTATTCATTCAATGCAGCTAATTTTTTTGTACGCTGTGTTTTGATATTAATATTATAATATGTATCAGTCGCAGGATTTTTCAAGCAGGAAATTTCAGACGTTTATTTGAGGTATTTTAAAATGTTTGTAACTTTTCAACTTTTCTGGTAGAAAAAATGCTCTTATCATAAGCTTCGATGTCCAGTGTATGTTTTTGGAAGCAAATTGGATCTATAGTTGGTACTTTTAGGAGGTCGAAATTGAATCTGCTCAGTGCTTTTAAAAGTACCTAATTGGAGAAAAAAAATGAAAACTTATTTAAATTGTTTGGTAACAATAGCTTGGTTACAGTGACGTATTTATGGGGGGGATATGGGGGATAGACCCCCTCCCTTACCCATGTATTTCCATGTATAAAGTACAAACTGCTGCAGTACTGTTGTTATTTATAATTTTGTTATCCTGTGGGCATGTGAGTGACATTACACAACATTTATTATTATTATATATACCTTACATGGAGTAGGTAACTAACAAAAAGTTGCAATAGCACAAAACAAATTTTGATATCCCCTCCTAAAGAAAATCCTATATACGCCCCTGCTTGGTTATATAGTCCTCACTTGGATTGTACCTATTTGACTAATTAAATTTTTTTTTTATAAATGTCAATAAAAAATTATTTATCCGATCGAAAAGCTTAAAAATGTAATACGCAAGTTTTTTTTTACATATGCATTTAAAGTTCAAAACAATTTAACCACAGTTAATTTGTAGTTCAAAACTTATAAAATATAAAATATGTATAGCTAAGGCTAGACAATTTAATACAAGGTCTTCCATACAAGTAGTTCATACTTTTACCGAAAAATTACAGATAATTTATGAAAATTGGTATGCAAATACAATGTTTTTTCAAAAATGAATTAATTCTGGTAAGACATATATGAAAGTTACGTCTTGCTTACTATAGTTAACTTACTATAGTTTACTATATTTTTTTTAAAAAGTAATAATAATACGGGCAATGGGGGGGGGGGGCTTTAGCCTTATTTTGAACTGTTATGGGACATTTTCATTTTCCATTTTTTTTGAGTTTTTTTTCTAAAAATATCAATAAAATTTTATTTGTTGGTTAAAAAAGCTTGAAAATATAAAAGAAGGCTCCTAGTATATTATATCAAAGGCAGATGAAAAATATTAAAAATCCTTAGTCACTGTTTCTTTTAATAAGCATTTAAAGTTCAAAAATTGACAAAATATGGAAAAATCACAAAAATTAGCAAATTATTTTGAGTTAAGAATTCGTAAAAATTTTTCTTTTTAAATCTAAGATTTGAAAATGAAACACAAGATTAATTATAAGATTATCTACCTTTATCAATAAAAAAATCTCTACCGGAATGTCAAATTAAATTTTTATGAGCGTTTGAAATTCAAATTTTTACAACATTGGATATTCACTCGATTTCTCATGTAGCGATTTCCTTATTTTGTTGTAATTCAAAAACGAATAACTGTAAATACATGAAAATTTCACTGAATGTTTAAATTAGCATTTCCTATACACCATACAATTTTGAAAATATTTTGACTCTTTTTGAGCTATTTACGGACATTTACCGCTTTCAATTTTTTATAGTTTTTTTTTCTATAAATATCAATTAAGTTTTATCTGTTGGGCCAAAATGTGTAAAAATGTAATACAAGGCTCCTGATATATTGTTACAATATCAGTTGAAAAATATTAAAAATACATAGACACAGTTTTTTTTTTATAAGCATTTAAAGATCGAATTTTGACAAAATTTATCAAAATCTCGAAAATTATCAATCATTGTAATTAATAAATTATAAAATGTTCAGTTTTTATAGCTAAGGATTGCAAATTTAAAACGAAGGTTCTCATAAATAGTTCATACTGTAACCAAAAAATCAAAAAAATATATGAACACAGTTATTTTTTACAGACATTTTAAATTAAAATTTGGACAAAATTATATATTAAAAAACCTAGAATAACTATTTTAGTTATTTTGTTGTGATTGAATAATATCATTCGTGGGTACTTGAAACTTCTAAAGTGTACTATTATAATATATCTATGATAGTATCACGGTTTTTGTTGATGTATAGCGCGTTATAAGTACCTAATGGATATTGTGATATGATTAATTTGGAATTTATTATAGGTAGGTACCTATTATAGCCTATAGGTCAAATTTTGGTTTAGTACCATAGATATACCATGTATATAATATGTCTTATACCTAGACTGACATACCTTCTCCGCTCAGAATCGTTTTTCTTATACAATGATATTATATCGTTGAATTCAAATTTAATATCATCCATTATCCAGTGACCCACTTGGCACTTGTACCCTACTGTACAGCAGAGCGACACCCACTTGTCCACCTTTTTAATTATACTATTTCTATTTTATGTATAATTAATTATTAAAGTATTATTTATAATAAATGTTTGATGACTTCCTATAACAACAATTCAAAATTAGCATATAGAAAATTATATATAGTTTGTGGTGTGGTGGGGGTGGGGGGGGGGGGTGTAAGTGGGTGGGTCATTACAATATTAATTTGCTTAGGGTTTGAAAGATGCTCGCACGTACGTCACACCAGCCCAGCCCATATTGAAATATGGTATTCTTTTGTATGTAACCTTTAGTATGTCATTTGTATGTATTTGTATGACCATCCCCACCATTTGTATGCCACTTGAAATCGAGTTATAACATAAATAGAAGGGGCGGGCTGGCGAGATGTCACCCCGGCCCGCCCACCAACCAAATTCAAAATTTCTCCACACCATTCAATTGTACGCCATTTGTATGGATTTGTATGACATGTTTCAACCATTAATTTTCAAAACTACCCTTGGGCGGGCTGGCGAGATGTCACCCCAGCCCGCCCACCAACCAAAATCAAAATTTCTCCACACCATTCAATTGTACGCCATTTGTATGGATTTGTATGACATGTTTCAACCCTTAATTTTCAAAACTACCCTTGGGCGGGCTGGCGAGATGTCACCCCAGCCCGCCCACCAACCATAATCCAAATTTCTCCACACCATTCAATTGTACGCCATTTGTATGGATTTGTATGACATGTTTCAACCATTAATTTTCAAAAGTACCCTTGGGCGGGCTGGCGAGATGTCACCCCAGCCCGCCCACCAACCAAAATCAAAATTTCTCCACACCATTCAATTGTACGCCATTTGTATGGATTTGTATGACATGTTTCAACCATTAATTTTCAAAACTACCCTTGGGCGGGCTGGCGAGATGCATTTGATAAGGAACTTTTAACTGATAATAAAAATATTAAGTAGAATAAATAAATCTAGTTAAAAAGAAACATTGATCTTTATTAGAAAAATCTTAAATAAAGAAAAATAATATAAATAGAATAAAAAAGGCAATTTTAATAAAATAAAATTACGCTTCATAAAAAACTAAATCTAATTTGTTTGAAATATCTATTTCAATAAAAAAATCTAATTTAAATAATATATTCTATTCGGAAGACAAACTTAAATTAATAAACAGTTCTTAAAGATATAAAAAAAATTTAAATGGAATAAAAAAGTCAAGTTAGATTTTTCATTCAAATTACGTCATGTTTTTTAATAAATTTAAATTTTTTGTCACCAACTAGGCTTTTTTAATTTGTGTTCAAGTATTTTAATTCAAATTACATTTTTTATTAAACTTTGTGTTATTTTATTAAATGTAGATTTTTTAATTCGTTTTGGCTTTTTATCCAAATTTCATTTTTTTATTCAAATATTAGTTTTTATTGTAATTCTATTTTCTTATTCCATTTACATTTTTATAACTCTTAGAGTTTTTTATACATTTAATATTTGCAATCAGGGTAGACTTTTTTCTACTCAAATTTGACGTTTTATACCAAATAGATTTTTATATTAAATATAGTTTTTTTAATCAACTATGCTTTTTATGGTTATTAGATATTATATTCTTTTTAATAAATATAAATTTTTTTGATAATACTGCCTTTTGTTATCTTGTTTAGATTCTTTTATCTATTTGATTTTTGTTCATTTTAGAGTTTGTTACTCTAATTGATTTTTATATTATATATACCCTTTATATTCGAAGCTTTTTTTTTTATTACAATTTTATTTATTCAATAAAGATTTTTTATTAGTTTCATTATGTTATTTAATAAAAATATCTAATTAGATTAAAAAAAGAAACTTAACCGCGTAAATAAAATCTAAATAATAATAAAAAAAAATAGTAGGTGACTAAAAAAAAACTCCGTGATTCCCAATGTAATCATATTACTTAACATCTAGACATCAATAAAATGTTGCCTTAAAATATAGCAGTATAAATACCACCGGCAATTCCAAGTTTAATAACAATATATTTAATGCCATAACAAACAAATTCATATTGTAATTCAACTAATACAAAAAAACAAAGTTTTTCATACTATACAAATCTATAGTATAATATTCGTATATTATGCAATAACATTTGGAACCTATGATTATTTACAATAAATAATATACACACGTGTCCCCCCCTACTGACAATACAACGTTCAAATAACCATACAGCTAATGGCCATAGTTAAAAAAAAAAATATTAAAAAAAAAATAAATAATAATTTTATTATGCAAAATATTTAAATTTATGCTTGAAATGTTGTTAATTGTAATATTATCATATTATCACTTATCAGTTATGGTAAATATCGATATATCGTTGTTATCCCTTGTTAAAAATAACTTTGTTGTGTTGGAATTATTAATTGTAAGTATACAAAATATATTGTTCTATAATACTCATTTAAACCGCATTTAACCCAATCAATTATATTATTAGGCTCTCGTATGTCATCACAAACGCATGATTTTAAGATTGATTTGAAGTATCTATTATTCAAATTTTATTTAAACTCAATATCTTGTCTTCATTTTTAATTTTTTAATTTATCAATAATATGGGTAGAACACCGTTTATATTTTTATATTTTTGTGTCTGTCATCACGTTTTAGGACAGTAAAAGCGCTTGGATTTTCTTCATCAGTAGCTTTTCTGATAGGAAAGTGAATCTAGTTGGTACATTGGGGGGTCAAAAGTATAAATTTCACAGTAGTTTTCACAAGCGCCGGGAAAAACAACATAAAAATTAAGGAAAAACGGGAATTTTTACGCAAAATTGGTTTTCCAAAAAATCGATTTTGGTTATTGGTGTAACTCTAAAACAAATGAACGTATATACATGAAATGTTCACTGGTTGTTTATAATTGCATTTTCTATACACGATAACATTTTCAAAATATTTTGATTTATTTTGAACTGTTTAGGGACATTATCATTTTCGATTTTTTTTTTTAGTTTTTTTTCTAAAAATATCAATAAAATTTTATTTGTTGGTTGCGAAAGCTTGAAAATTTAATAGAAGGCTCCTAATATGTTGTTTCCAAGTCAGATGAAAAATATTAAAAATCCTTAGTCACAATTTTTTTTTATAAGCATTTAAAGTTCAAAAATTGACAAAATATGGAAAAATCACGAAAATTAGCAAATTATTTTGAGTTAAGAATTCGTAAAAATTTTTCTTTTTAAATCTAAGATTTGAAAATGAAACACAAGATTCCTTATAAGATTATCTACCTTTATCAATAAAAAAATCTCTACCGGACAGTCAAATTAAATTTTTATGAGCGTTTGAAATTCAAATTTTTACAACATTGGACTTTCACTCGATTACTCATGTAGCGATTTCCTTATTTTGTTGCAATTCAAAAACGAACAACTGTAGATACATAAAAATTTCACTGAATGTTTAAATTAGCATTTTCTATACACCATACAATTTTGAAAATATTTTGACTCTTTTTGAGCTGTTTATGGACATTTACAGCTTTCAATTTTTTTTAGTTTTTTTTTCTATAAATGTCAATAAAGTTTTATCTGTTGGGCCAAAAAGTGTAAAAATTTAATACCTAGGCTCCTGATATATTGTTACAATAGCAGTTGAAAAATATTAAAAATACATAGGCACAGTTTTTTTTATAAGCATTTAAAGTTGGAATTTTGACAAAATTTATCAAAATCTCGAAAATTATCAATCGTTGGAATTAAAAAATTATAAAATGTTCAGTTTTTATAACTAAGAGTTGAAAATTTAAAACAAAGATTCTCTTAAATAATTCATACTGTAACCAAAAAATTTAAAAAATATATAAACACACTTATTTTTTACAGACATTTTAATTTCAAATTTAGACAAAATTTCATATTTAAACCAAGAATTACGATTTTAGTTATTTTGTTGTGATTGAATAATATTATTCGTGGGTACTTGAAACTTCTAAAGTGTACTATTATATATCTATGATAGTATCACGGTTTTTGTTGATGTATAACGCGTTATAAGTATCTAATGGATATTGTGATATGATTAGTTTGGAATTTATTATAGGTACCTACCTATTATAGGTCAATTTTTTGTTTAATACTATAGGTATGTATATAATATGTCTTATACATAGACTGACATACCGTCACCGCTCAGAATCGTTTTTCTTATACAATGATATTATATCATTGAATTCAAATTTAATACCGTCCATTATACAGTGACCCACTTGTAACCTACTGTACAGCAGAGCGACACCCACTTGCCTACCTTTTTTTTTTTATTATTATTTAGATTTTTTTTACGCGGTTAGTTTCTTTTTTTAATCTAATTAGTTATTTTTATTAAATAAAATAACTAAACTAATAAAAATTCTTTATTGAATAAACAAAATTGTAATAAAAAATTTAATAAAAAAAGCTTCGAATATAAAGCATACATTTTTTTTTTATTTGATAAAATCGTACATTACATAATATTATATGAAAAAAATTACACCTTGATTAATTTAACCCAGTAGGCAAAGCTTGTGGCGGGTTAAATAAGTTACAGTTTAGAGACTAGTAAATAAAATAAATTAAAATAAAGTTATACAAGTTGACATATATCACTAAAAATAAGTTTTACAGATAACATATAATAAAGTTTTCATTTACACAAATTCACTTAATAACCAATTTTTAATAATTATTCTAATGAACTTAATATTATTAGATTTTGAAGTATAATGATCAAAAATATTTTTTTTAATATTTGAACGTAAAGAGTTATAATACATAACTGGACCTAAATAATCAATAAATCTTATCTTTGACTGAATTGTTTATTTGTGTACTTTATACTAATATCATATGCCCTGAATTCCCTTTTGTTTTTAGATTCATGTATACACTGTTTAGAATCATTAACAATTGCAAAAAACTTATACAGCACTTTAACTGGCAACACTCTTAAAGTTTTGTAATTAAGTGAAGATGAGCCTTGTCTATCTTTTTTGTCTAAACATATTCTGACCGCTGAGTTCTGTTGTACTATTAGAGGTCTTATTGCATTTTCCGCACATCCTCCCCTGATTATCAAACCATATTGCATAATAGACTTATACAGAGTTTCATATACAGTACGCATGACTTCCATAGGTAGAATTTTGTTCAATTTATAGAATTTGATTTTTGGTTGGTGGGCGAGCTGGGGTGACATCTCGCCAGCCCGCCCAAGGGTAGTTTTGAAAATTAATGGTTGAAACATGTGATACAAATCCATACAAATGGCGTACAATTGAATGGTGTGGAGAAATTTTGATTATGGTTGGTGGGCGGGCTGGGGTGACATCTCACCAGCCCGCCCAAGGGTAGTTTTGAAAATTAAGGGTTGAAACATGTCATACAAATCCATACAAATGGCGTACAATTGAATGGTGTGGAGAAATTTTGAATTTGGTTGGTGGGCGGGCCGGGGTGACATCTCGCCAGCCCGCCCAAGGGTAGTTTTGAAAATTAAGGGTTGAAACATGTGATACAAATCCATACAAATGGCGTACAATTGAATGGTGTGGAGAAATTTTGATTATGGTTGGTGGGCGGGCTGGGGTGACATCTCACCAGCCCGCCCAAGGGTAGTTTTGAAAATTAAGGGTTGAAACATGTC